GGCGGCCATAAAGAAGATACGCACTCGAGTTAACCCATTTTCTCCGGCTGCTGGTAGAGATAAATTGTCGCCGGCGCGGCGGTAAGGTAAGGTCACGTTCATTGTACTCGCGGAACACGTCGCCGCGTCGGTCCGAAACACGGCGTCTATTTCCACGCGAGGAATCTGAGAGACGGGAGGAAAAGGCGAGATACGAGCACGTCGCAACCTAACGCGACACGTTTACTTTCCTTCTCTTCGCCTTTCCTTCGACGCACCACTTACCTTGGACACGGGGGTGGTTTCGCGAAGCTTGCCCTTTCCGCGCTAGTGTCGTAACATCGAAGAACGACGAGGAACGCAACGGTCAACAGCAGTCGGCTACTATTCACCGATAAGCAGCAGCCCGTCGACCTCAGGCGCCCAACTTCTTTCCGTCTTGTCCCTTTTCTGCAACCCCTCGATCTGTCGCTCTTTCTCTCTTTTCCTCCCTCGCGCCCCCTCGCTTTCTCAATAGCGTATTTCTCTCTTTAGATGAAAATCACTTCCTTTTCTCTCTCTTTCTTTCTGCCTGTCTGTCTTTCTCTTTCTTTCTTTCTTTCTTTCTTTCTTTCTTTCTTTTTTTCTTTCTTTCTTTTTGTTCTTCGTTAGTGCGCTAGTAATGTGGAAAGGACGAGACGCGAGACGATTTTCTTACTTTTTGCTGATCGGTCGCGGATGCGGACCTTCCGTCTTTCGCAGCCTGCGAGGCGGTCTCAGCTCCAGCAGCGAGGCCGCATCTTCCCTGTAACAGAGGAGGTTTTATCGTTAAGCAACGACCCCTTAAAAGTAGGGAGATCCATCGAGGAGACAGTTTCGAGATTAACGACTGACTCCGCCGCCGCGATGAGATGAGCTCATTAGCTCGATTGGGGAAATTTCCGCGTTGGCCGAGGTAGCTAGGAACGCAACCTCGAAAATCGCTGTCGCGATTTATCACGATAAACGACGCGTTTCGCAGGGCAATCTCGTTAATGGGATTCGATCTGCGTCACGTTTCTACGCGATCGTCCGCAACCGACTCCAACGAACCGCTCCGGGGATCGTTAGCGTAAGCCGATCCTTATCGCGGACACGCGATAGCGTAAGACTATACATTTTCGGCGCAAAAGCTCGCCGTTGCAACGCAATACCTTGACGCGCCACGCGGCGGACGGTTCTTCCTCGGCTCTCTCTTTCGTTCTTCCTATTTCCCTCCTGCCTTTTTACCGCTGATCGAGGTACACAGAGAAAGAAGGACGGCAACAACGGTTGGACGGAGGAAGGTCGGCGGTCGGCGGTCGCGGTCGGGGAAGGTGCGCGCACGGTGCTCCGCGCGAGATACCGCTCGAGACTAAGTCGGCCGAGATGGCACGCGGTCGCTTTATGAGCGCGCGAGGAATGCGAGAGCCGAGCCCCCGGTGCCGCGAGTTCCGATTGGTCTGCTTCGATCGACCCGTATCGCCGCCTCGTTCGCTTCCTTCCTACCTACTCTCTTCCACGCGTATGTTCGCGCCAATTCCTCCACACCGCTCAAGGACACGCGGATCTATGGAAACGCGATTCGCTTCAAGCCCCGTCGGGCAACGCGGACTAACGGGGAGAGAAGAAAAAAGAGGAGGTTCACTCGTGCCGCTTTCCTTTTTCGTCCGGTGGTTGCACGGTGTGCGGCAATCCTTTACGAAAAAAGAACCGTGCTCGAACCAGCGCCTATCTGATAAAAGGGAAGGCGAACAGAAAGCGGAGGCAATTGCGCACGTAAGAAGTCGTCGAGCTTAATCGGGATACACCGCGACTGAATGAACCTTCCTCTGACCATAATCATTCTATTGGCTATTTTTAGCCAAAAATACGCCGGAGAGGAGGGGTCGCGATATCGAGAGAGCCTGCCGCCGAATAGTTTTCGACAACGAGCATCCTTCGACGATAGAGGGAAACGAATTAAAATACCGTCTACGTATGTAACTACATACGTCTAACTAGACGGCAAACAGTGGAAGGACGTGGCAACGACAAAGAGCCGACCGATTAATTGCCGTTCGCATAACCGGCTGGTTATGCCTGCCCCCCGTTTTATTAGATAATTCAGGAATGTGCGTTTTGTTCCAACGCCCAGATGCAGCTGCACACCTGCGCCGCGTGCATACATCCGAACTCGCGTTACGAATAATCGATCCTAATCCAACTACGTACTCTGCCGATTCGAACGCGTCCCCTATTATCGGTGAACGTGACCAACGTTCGCGGATACCAGCCTTGACGATGCTCTGGAAAATTTCTAATCGGATCGTGTTTGTTCTGTGCACGCACGGAAAAGAGATTGCCGAATATTCGAGATGCGAAAACATTCACGCAACGTTAAACACGAAAGAACGTGCACACCGACCGACCTTACAACCGGATCGTTATTTCCTAGTACGTGAGCGATCGTCGTGCTGCTTAACAACCGTACTTACGAGCGATTTAAGCGATAGGGACATTTCTGTAAAATTGCAGCTTCCTCGAATCTTTAAAAAACACGGCAAAAGCAGAAGAGTCGTTCGTTTATCGATTCTTCCCCGTAAGAAACGTTCGAGCCTGATAAAAAGAAAGAAAAAATTGCCGCGAGCATTGGTGCTTCCATCTTTTGGCGGGATAGCGTAGCGAGATGCTCACGCTGGCGACGATATTGATGGTAGGCAAAAACGATCATGGTCGATAACGCGAACGACTGTCGGTAATGAGAAATGTTCGTTGTTTCGCGTGAAGCGAATTACAATCTTTTAATAGTGGATGCAAATCGAGTCGATACTTGACGGGGACACGCGGTATTCCGGCAACCGTGTTTCCGTCTGTTTCGAATTTCGAGACGATCTTGACGCGTGTGCCTCGTCACGTAAGTAATCTGCCCCGAAATCTGCCTGCCTCCACGAAAGATGCCTGTGTAACGCGGACAGAGATCGCGCGGCGACTCGTTGGAACCGAAGGGAAGAGGGACACACGCAGGCACTCGTCGCACGTCAAACTCAATAACGACGAGAGATGATGCAACTGTTTCATCTCCGCGTCTCACGTTGTTTCTCCTTGCAGAGTCGTCGCGCGTTACGTCTTTCTCTATGTATATTCGCATCTATGTATGTTTCCTTCGATCGAAAATCTCTTTGTGCTCGACGGATGGAAATAGAAATCGAGTCTAGCCAGACTTTCTCGAATGAACCGTAAAGGAGATCGGTTTAAGCTTCGGTCTATTTCGAATCGGTCACTGTGGAGAACATTTTTATCGCAATTACGATTCGTTTGCCGATAAAGCCTGACAGAGCAGCAGTGCCGGATTCGCAGGCAAGGAAACAAATAATAAAGCGCAATTGCGCGGGTCCCTCAATTGTCTCATTGCACGCTGACGTCAGGATACGCGGCGACCAATCGCAGCTCGCCTACCGACGAGCCCCTCGCGAAAATCCACGGTACGCGTACCGTTTCCCCACCGATTTTAATCATCGAGCAGCGCGATATGGAAGCTCGATATTTAACCTTGCGCAATGACACGTTATCTGCTCGTCCGAGATTTCCACCTTTGTCCTATCGTTCCTTCCTCGATGCGTTCATACGAACGATCGACCGATTGATTACCGCGAAATCAAACACCGCTACGTGCAACCTTCTGCGCGCTTCCTTTCCATTCCTACTTCTTTACTTTTCACCGAGAACATCTCTTCGAGCAGTGGCGATTTTTTTTTGCAAAGCAAGCCAATTTTTTCCCTACCCAAATATCAACGGTTCCGTCGTTTTTCCTTTTTTCCACTTTTCTTTTCTACTGCCGCCCTTCGCCATTCTTTACCCGAAAGCATAAAGATGTTGCGGTTGAATAACGAGTTCGAAGGAGGCGCGTGTATGTCGGAATCTGGGCCAATGACAAAACAAAATGAAGGTAGAGCTGCCAACTTCTACGAGAATTTTATCTCCTCGGTCGAGGTCCTCTTCTGTGCGCGACCCTCCGAACCGGCATAACACGTTCTTCGCGCGATTCTCTGCTTCGTGCAACAGGCAAATTTCGAAAAATCGTCGAAAACCACGTTACGATGCCCGATTCCCAAATACATAGCCTGAATGGTCGAAACGGGAAGAATCAACAAGCACGCGTGGAAAAGTAAAAAAGAATGGCCAACGAACGATCGCCCCGATTCTAATCGTCAACGAGATTGATCCGTGTCTAATTTCAGCGACGCGCGTCTATCTTTATGCGGCTGCATGCATATCGATGGAGCTTCTCTTTTTTATTTAGCGATACACGGCAATTTAACACGTCTCGAATATTTAACGCGTCGAGTCAATCGAGCTTCGGCTTATAAATCGGTAGCAACGCGAATTCACCTTCTCTGTTAAATATTTTTCCATCTGATTTATTAATCTACAGCCCCCCTTCTCTTTTCCTTTCCTTTTTCTTTCGGCAAACTACGACGGAGAAGGAATTCGTAATGTTACCAATTGAAGTTGCCGCGGACGAAACTGCAACGTCAGTGGACGTTCCGTCTCGTCGTTCGAGATCGTGCAAAGTCTCCTAACGCGTCTTATTACGTCACGAAAGTTAAAATAACTTGCTGGTTACTAGATGACCGGAGTTTCGTCACGGCCGTGCAAAATGATACGGCCGCCGAAACACGTGGGAAATGGTAAAACCAATAGACACTCGATAGCATGACCTTTCGAACTTGGCATCGATGCTCGCATGGCACGGTACCTTTGTTAGAGTTCGCGCACCTGAGTGGTGCAACGTCGCGACCATTACAAAGGACCCGCGATAAAGGTAAACGATAAAAAAAAAAAAAAGAAAAAGAAAAAAAAGAGAGAAAAAAAGAGGATACGAAACGAATGGCAGACCGCTTCACACGCAAAGATCGGAAAAACTACATACTTGGTCGAAGAATACGAAAGAGAAGTAGGAGGAGAAGGAATGAGAACCGCTGACAATCGAGCCCCTTGGTCGATGACCAGTTGTACCAATCGCGAGTCGACTTTGGACCAACGCCTTCGAATTCAACCAATCGGAGATTAACTTCTCCGAAGGCGCGTCGTACGTATCCGCTTTCTCTGAGACAACGTGCACAACGTATCGTTGACACGGCTGACGGAGGAGAGGGGGGCGACGGCGTACAATAATCCTACAAATTTCACGATCGTTCTCCGTATCGAAACATCGTTCGATCTTGGAAAATTCATCGGGTATCACCAGGTAAAACGTGAAGCGTTTCTAACAACGTGAAATTCACATAAAGAGTTGACTGGGCGAAAACTCTGTTTTATGGGGGGCTCGCTAATCTTTGCTAGAAAATAACTTTACCACGCTAAACGAAATCTAATAATACCATTAGGTCGACCCTCTAGCTTACTTTAAAATCAATTCTGGCAACTTCTCAATTGTGACACTGCCATACTAACATTATAACCCAACATTACTTAAGACAACGTGAAATCTCATCTCTAGAACGATATAAGTTGTATCGAAATAAGCGTCATTTTTTGAGAAATACGGCAACATTTCGTATCTTCTTCGAGAGTTGCACGATCGCCGAAACGAACATTCGTAAAATTCGAAATACCAAGCTATCGGCCCTTTTCATTTCCTATGCAATAGCAGGAACGAATAGGTATACCTGTTAACAAATGTACAAAGTGTACTTTCTTCGGTCGCGTTCGTGCAAATTCGTAAGTAAATTGGTAGTCGAACTTGGTTCAAACCTGTACAAGTTTATCTTGGTCCCGCGGTGATACGTTGTTGCGTTAAAGCTCACCAAAAAAGCATTACGTAAGACGATGAAAATAAAAATAAAAGAAGACGAAGGAAGAAAGAAAGAAAGGAAAATAGCGTTTCCATAACGGTCGCCCAACGAGGGATCGTCGGTCCGCGGAGCGGCGTACGTCAAAACACGTGTCACCGAATGAAATCGGGAAAAACGGAGAGAAAAGAGAAAAGAAAAAAGACGTGCGTACCTTCGTGTCTAGTCCGTCGTTGAACCAGATGGAAGAGAAAAGAGGGATTAGCACGCACTAAACTCACTGGCACCCCTTGTTTTAAACACTTTTGATAGCAGAACAAACGAATCTCACAGTCTTGAAAGCGAAAGCACACGCGACACGAAACCAACCGACGGAATAGCACACGAACGTTACACACGTAGTATATTCAGCTGATGACGAAATTAATCGGTTCCTTGCGGAGAAACAAAAACGTGATCACTGTACCGCGTTACGTATGTGACTGACCGAGAGTATCCAAGTGAACCTCCACCGTTCTGACGCTCGCTCGCTTGCCGCGTGCCCCCTCTCCCCCATCTTTCTATCTGTCCTGTCCACTCTTTCTCCGTCCGTGGCACGCTCGCTAGCTCCCGCCCTCTCTTTTCCCCACTTGCCAAATCTCACTCTATCTACGTTTTCCCTCCGTAGAACCAGTAAATATCCATGATATATAATACCACGTGTCTACAGTGTTTCGAATGAAAATCGGATATTCACGGGGAAGATGAAAAGTAGTTGGACAGTAGGAGTAGAAATAAAGGAAAGATTGCCTTGAGGTATTCTCATTTTCTTTCATTTTCCCACTTACGCTCGAACTCGATCTAGACTCACGGGACAACCCGGTATGAACTGGTTTGCATCAATGTGTATGTGTGCATCGTGGCGGCTAGCCAGAGAGACGTCGACTTTGCGCGAACATCGGCGAAAATAACCGAATATTAACCACGTGTCCGCCAAGCGAATCATTCACTAATTTTATCTTGACCATAAACGATCAACCTTTTTCATTTTCATCTTCGCGTATTCGTTCAAATATGTATACATATGTATCAGAGAGAAATAAAGTCTGATTCCATCGAGTATCTTGCAAGTGTCGTTCGAATGTAATATGCTCAAAGTTCGATTGATAAATACCGTATATATTCTCTCATTTCCATACGATAATTACGACAATGCGATTATGTACCACCGATGCTACACGATTCGACAACCACTCTATACGTACATATGTACGAACTGACGATATTACGTATCAGTTTGGAAAGAAAATACGAAACGGGCTGAATGGAAAGTTCAATCTGTGTTACTCGCGATATCGATCTGTTCAATCGCGATAGAATAATCGGTGCTGGATAACACACTAACCTTGCACTTTTTAAGAACGGCTGACTTGAGTCAACGTTCGGATGCATCCTTGTACAGTGGTCTATACATACCGTCGTTGTCTCCTCGGTTGCCCAGACGAGAAAATCGAGATTGACGACGATAATGACAATCGATTTCCTTTCTTATTTTTGCCGAACAAGCGTTATCTATCGATAGTCGATAAAACGAATCACGCGTAAACAAAAAGGCACTGCAACGGTAAGTTCACTTGACGCGTGAACGAATATCTGTAGGGTGGGAAAGAGAGGCCTGCTCGTTTCCCAATTGAATATGTGTAAGTAAGTATCGTATGTACATACCGTTCGAACGACCTCAGCCACTTTTTCGAACCGTCCTTAACCTCGACACTATTTCACCGAAGGAAAAACCTCTCGTAAACCGAATCACTATAAACATCGGTTGTCGAGTCACCTGCGTTTTCACTGGGAAAAAATCTCGTTCCACAAAGTTCAGCCAGTGTGTAATTTTAGATCAAGTAAGCATGTCGCAAGAAAGAATCGCGTGCATGCTAAACATCACACGATTTCGATACACGTGACTTCTCGCCTACAACAATGTCGTCAACAGGCTAACACTACTTCACCACGAGACCGATAATATCACGGGCGTTTTCTTCGCGAATAACCGAATACGAGTGTAGGGATGAAAATAAGATGTAAAAGGCGTAAGGCACTGAGAACACGATAGACCGCAACCTTGGAGTGTTACGAACGCTCCGACGCGGCGTCCAATTGCTCACTGACGCACCAGCACGAATCGGACCAACTTTTATACCCCTCCTATCGATACCGTCTCGCCGGTATTTATGCACCTGCTACGAACTGCTACGACCAAATCCATTTTTTTTACCACTCTCCTTCTCACCGAACGATTCTTTACAACTTCGTTACCGAAGAAAGGAAATTTTTGTCAACAGCGACTTATCGGCTATTCGTTTGTTTGCTTTCTTTTCCCTCTTATTAGTCTAGGGTTAGTCACAAGTGTTTCTGACGTAACATAATCTACAGATTCAGATCCCGCTGCAGCTCTTCCCAAGTCTTGGACAAATGAAAAACATTCAACGACGATAATTTCGATTAACGTCAGTTCAAAAAATAAATTGGAGTACAAAAGGGACTGAACGGTCCCTTTGTCTTTTAACGTCGCTGTTTTTCCTAATGCGATGCAATTACGATTTGGTCACGTGGTCTGGATTAAAACGCGACAGCAGTCCGCCTTTCGATTTTATCGTAGTCCTTTTTCTTGGCTAGTCTGGCATGCAACGACGAAGAACGTGATTTAAAGGGGTATTCTCTCGAATTGGTAAAATCAACCACGTTATAGATATTTAAAGAAGACTATGTAGAACGTACTATATAGCGTCGTAACGGATACTTCTCCCCTAGTTTCGCTCTCGCCCTTCCTTGCCAGTTTAAACGTTCAGTGAGTTTACCCAAGAGGGAGATCGTCTGGTAGTGGTTAGGATTTGTTCAGAAGGCACGGTCTTCGATTATAATTTTTCTCGGTTAGGAGAGTAAAAAAGCAGATTTTTCCATTTCAGATATTTTCACTTCTGAGAGAGAGAGAGACACTCTGAGATTTCGCTGCAGCGGGAAAGTTTGGTTGGCTGAACGGAAAGATAAGCGGCGCGAGTTTTAGCGAGTTGCGATGTGCTAATCGTTCCACGCCTGTACACCGAACGCGTTTATACATTTTCTTGGTAAAGCGATTGGGGATGTCATGTGTCTGAAATAATCGTGAATGTTTGTAGCGGCGAAGAAAAAATTTTTCCACGATTAGACGATTCGATCAACTGGCCGGGTCAACGAGAGAGCGGAGGATTACTCGAGTCTCCAACGACAAGACAGCTGAAGCATGATTTACTAGGGCCGGCCGACCAATTGATTTCAAGTGCCGCAATAAGCATTTGCGTGCGTTGAACCTTAGACCGAAAGATTAAAAAAGCTATTCTCGTAAAACGGCGGCTATCCATTAACCGTCGAGCAATTAATTCGCACTGGACGAAAATTAGAGAGGAATTTGAAAAGGTAAGGATAATTATGTCGGAAATGAGTTGACACTTGCACAATTATGGGTATGTACAAGTGAACTTTATATAAGAAGACCGAGACCTGTCTAATACTCTTGACGACTAATTGGGAGGTGGAAAAAGAACGATGAAAAAAACGTTTGAAAAGGTGTGAACTCGCACGCGTACCAATTAGCAATCATGGACTTACCGGGTTCCAACGAGTTGATATCGATCAAGTTTATCACCGATTGAGCCACGATGACGACGCAGTTGGTAGCCTTGATTAGTGCGCTGCCCGCTGCAACTCAGGCAACGGCGAGCTCCTTGCCAAACAACCAGCATCACTAAACAATCAAACGAACCACCCTCAACTTTCCACGATAAAAAAACCTTTTATACATATATGTATCTATATGGGACAAGTTTTCACGTTGAAATCTTCGTCCAAGATATAACTTTTCCTACGATTTATTACGAAACACGAGTGTCGTGCGTTCACGGGTTCACGAGTATTCGGTAATTAGAACTTGTAAAGCTCGTGTTAGTTAGCAAATGACAATCACTTTGGTTTCTTTAGGTCTCGCTTGACACAGCGGCAAATGAAAGCTTCTCTTCACCAGGTTTATGGCACGCTCGCACCAGAAGGTTATTTTTCAGAACAAAGACGCTTCGTAGCAACGTGAAAAAGCAATGGAAGGGTGGGCGACAAATCAATCAAAGCTCTGTGCTTCGGTTAGGTAGTGAATTTATGTACAGTGCTCCCTCCAAGTGCCTAGCCGACACGGCAGATCAGCGACCAAAATCCACATATAAGTGGTATGGGGATCGGTCTTTTACCAGAATGTTACTCTTCTCAATACGGTCCAAGGCAACTGTTTTAAACTATTTCACTTTCGTTCTAACTGATCGTTGGATCCAAGTAACTTCCTATTTATACTAGAATATATACGTACTTACTTAGTCCTTACATCCTTTCAAGCCACCTAATCCTGACAATTTTTTCACAATTTCACCCGAAATACCGCTCCGTGTGAGGACAGATGCGTATGTCGTAACAGGCGATTCCAATCAATTTTGCACGTTTAGCATACATTTACAATTTTCTTTATCACGGCGAATAAGATTGGCGAGAAACTAATTCCTCGAAAATTGCCGATACACAGCTGCGAGCCAGAAGGAACTACGTTTACGTTATTATGTAATTATATAAATTCTTGTAAAATATAAATTCTTTCCTCAGCTTTTCGCGAAGACGGCCAGTGGTTCTTCCAGGGAGCACTGTACTTTATTATATTTCCACTAAATGATTCTTCTAACAGAATTTCTTCGCGTTTAGGGTCTAGCGTGTTTGCTTATTGTCTCCTGCTCCTTTAGAATTCGACAGAATCAAGGACTTGTTGTTGGTGGAAAAAAGGAAACGCACCGATATGGTTATCGTTAAGGGATATATCGTCGGAACGAGGATATATGTAGGTGCTTGACCGTTAGGATAAAGAAGGACCAGTGCTCGACACAGTTACCAACCACGAAAGGTCTCTTTCTTTTCCAAACGACTTATTGTTAGCGATAGAACGAGGCACATTGCCGCCGGAATTTCCTTTATTTTCCGCAATACTGTTTCTACATAGAAATGTAAAGGGAAGGATGAGAAATTTCTTTAATCACAAATACATATATATAGTATATACGTTATTGTAGACGTTCTCGTGAAATAGTTCTGTCTCATTACCGATAACAAATCTACGGAACATTATGTGATGTACGTATGACGGTAGTATGCGATAAATCACGGTAAAGAATTTGAATGATGTGCCAACTATATGTAGATTACAAGTACGACGATGATGCAGACGAACTTACACGTTACGAATGTAATTACCCGCGAACAGCAAACATGTTTCACAACTATACAAACGTAAACTACTATTCTAGCGTGTTATTTTAATCGATCTTTACCGCGTTACGAGTTTCTTTACGAGAAATAAAATTTATTACTGTAAGTTGGTAACACGTACATATTAGATATTCTTCAGTTTCTTTCGCGATAATTGGGAAAAAACTACAGCAAATTCGCGACTGTTACTGCACACGCGTGTGTGTGAACGTTTTATTTAGTGTGCTTATTTCTTGCATAAAAAGAGTAGGTACATAGTTCATTGCCTATATCATCGCATTATCGTCTAATAATATTTCGTCGCAATGCAGTTGGAGGAGAATTTAATTTTGAACGTGCCAACGAAAAAGGAACACTCGTGACGAATCTATTTTAACTTTTAACTAGTAAATTCTATATACATACGTAAAAGTATTATTGCACAGACGGAAGTCTCTGTACAGAGATTTCTTTGGTTAATGGTAACTTCTATTTTTCAAACACTTGATTATTACAAAGACACACACACACACACATACATACACGGAGAGATGCCACGGACACCTTTTAAACGAAGCAAGAATTAACGTTGAAATTGTTACACGAGCAAAAATTGAAGAAAATAAGGGATCGTACTGCGTGATTCAAGTAACGAACGAAAAATCAAAGTAAGAGTATTCTTTACGTGGATAATGCGAAATACATATGTATATCTTTTGATCTAAGTATTGAAAAATACATGCAATGTCACTTACCTTGCAAACGTTAAGTACACGCGATGGCGTCTTGAATATTCCACGCGGTCCAAAGGAAATAATCGAACTCTCAGTCGATATAATCGTACATCACAATTTCCTTCTTACTATCGATTCACAGTTTCACCAGATCAGTTTACGATTTCAACGCTACTTTATATTCGTGTGCGTACATACATTATGTACCGACACACGAATTCCAACCAAGTATTATTTTAAAGAGGAGAACACACGAAACACTGGACACTGAGTGAAAGAAACACAGATGTTTTAGATGAAATTGAACGGAAATGGAGGAAATATATGCTAGGGCACGATATTAACAAACGACAGGAGCGAGCAAACGGTCGATAGACGTTCTCGCGAAAACACGTCAGGTTAACACAGAGTTTGACAAAATGATCAACACCTTACGAGATACCGCTGAACACTGCTCAGTACTGACAATCTCACGCATGCGCTCGGATTCCTTTAGATTCTACATTCAGCCGGAAGTGCGAAACGTATCTTTAACCCCGCCGTTCGTTCGGAGGTATTAGTCAAATGGAGTATACGTAAACGGAAAACAATCGGGTAACAACATAAACAATTTACACGTGCAATGTTTGTATTCTTTTGTCGTACGTCTATCGATAGTTACAATGTGATGAGAGATATACAAAACGTGTTACATATTCTATCGAAATAAAAAGAAATCATACTGTAAAACCTATTATACGCTCTCCCTTTTCTTTAATCAGGAGAAGAGCTCTGTTGATCTGATCGATCGTTGAACATTATTGTGCATCCAAGTAAACGTAGTTTGGTGTGCTCTGAAGAGGTGTACACACCGGTGGTAAATACAGAGACATCGAAGCGAGCGAGAGAGCGAGAGAGAGAGAGAGCGAGAGAGAGAGAGAGAGAGCGTAATCTGGGTGAGTTTCGAAATAAATTTGTTGGCAAAATGATCAAGTATCGGGTGCTTGCTTGGTCGTCACTTTTACTAATCGTCGTGCAGCTGCTGTGGCGAAAAACGAAACTCGTTACAACTATTAAATAGTTCGTTTAAAAAGATTTAATATGCTACAGCCTCTTTACACTTGTATAGATCGACAATGTTGGTCTTCTGTGGTGAGTTGTTATCGAGTGAATTTTTAAAAGCAAATCGTACATTTAGGAAAAGCTTCAGTAAGCAATCACTATAACATAAATAACGTCTTACCGAAGTAGTCAAGTATCAAAACATACTATATATCGTCTTAAAACTAAACACGGTGATAATAAATATAAATATTTCATTATAAAACGATCATAATTTTAAAAACTAGATTCTTAAGATAGATACACTACCTTAACAAGTTTGATATATTTACATAGCAATGTACACCTATTATATGGTTTTTGTACACAAATGAAGAGAATGACGTGATACTTAGTTCGTTTCGCTCGTTATCCTTCTGCTATACCTAGTGCATCATTTTATGGAGTTTTAAAATTTTTCCCAAGCGTTGTTTCGCCGTTTTCATTCCTTTTTTAGGTTTTCGTTCTGAAAATTAAGCGACAATTGTACCGTCCAACACACCAGTCGAACCCGAAAAATAATACAAAACAGAGGGGGAGGGGAGGGGACGGGGGGAAAAATGCTGAAACATATTACCAACTGGAACCGGGGCTGCCAGTTTCGCTTTAACATCTTTAAGCCGATTTGGGCTAGTTAATATCGAACCAAAGCCGATGCTCGTCGTTTTTCCGCTATTTTCCGTAGACGTAGTCGACGTTCCACTTGTTGTCGAAGTTACGGGTGAGCTCTTCTGTTTCCTTTTATTATACGTCCGTTTAGTTGCATTCTATTATGTTACAGGAGAAACAAGGATAGATTAGCTTAGTTACCGTGTTCCGACCAAATGAAAAAAGGGATGAATAAGAATCGTAAATACGGTCAAAATACACTTGTATAATAGTATAAACATTGTCAATGGAACAAATATCGATAACTGTGTACCAGTGGGTAATATATGTATATCGAGTGTATATATATAGCGAGTGAATGATATTATGACACTACAATCAGATGGAGAGTGATGTTCAAGTGATACTCGGAATACATGCAACACGTGTTATGAAACCTACCAATTTCTTCTTCGAGCCTTTATCCATGTTGTTATCCAGATAATCGTCCTATGCGATACGAGTATGCAAGAAAGAAATAATTATGGACATGCAAATGAATGTAAACGTAAGATCGCGTAAGAGAATGAGTTAACTTGTACATCATGAAACCATAACGCACATAACCTATATTATTTAATGCGAATACGACAATACGTATTAAATTACAATTCAATTTGACAACAATTAATATAATAATCGATAAAAAGAAGAAGAGGAGGAGGAAGGAGAAGAAGAAAAACGGGGGGAATATGAACGTAAAATAAAATGAATTTTGCGTACCGATTGTTTCGCGCGTTTTGCTGCTGCTGCCTCGAGCCCTTTTTCCACGGACGTTCTCTTCACACCTTCTCGAGCTGGACGATTCGTCTTTGGCAAGAGAGGACCCACTCTGGCTTTTGGATTCCATGCTTCGTCTATTTGACTTTTCGCTTTAGGCTTAAAGATATAATCTTCGTCGTCAGAGGCGTCTAGAGCCGGGTAAACTACATCGAAAGAATACACACGATAGTAACTATTAACGCAATATGCATCCCCACGGAACTGAATAATGTTTCTGTCATTCCACATACTGAAATCATCGTCTTGATGAACCTTATCGATATTTTCTATCGATTGATCGTCGTCCTCGTCAGGTTTCGTTTTAGTGTTTTTCGTAGACTTTGATGTACTGTTCGATGTGGTTGAATAACACTGTTCGCTGAATGACAACATCCCAGCGATCGCTTCCCGCGTTGATGGAGATGCCCTGCCAGAACTGGTTGTTTTCAATTTATAAATACTAGGACACCAAAAACGTAAAACATAACGGTACTGTACTACAAGCAAATTATATATTATATTATATTATATTATATTATATATGCACTTCTATTCTTTTTTATGACGCTTCTACGACACTTGTATGACATTTCTATGACATTATAATGAAAGAAAAGAGAAGAAAGACTAATACACGTGGGAGAGCACAGGAAGGAACACAGCAACGTTAGGCCATGCTTGTACAGTTACATTTTTCAACAACAACGTCAAATTTTAATATAATCTTACCCGGTGGGTGGTGGCATAGACTGGTTGTATTGTGGATTTATCGCAGACCTATAATCAGTGAATGTTTTAAGTAAGCTACGAATGCTTGGATTCGTTCAACGACTAAATACGTACGTCACATCTAATCTTTGTGCCCCATTTCCCAAAGTATAAGCCGAGGCTTTTAACAACTCTTCGATGCCATTCTTTGGTACATCGTTCAAGACATCAACGTCGCCATCGTAATCACGTTTTAATCGTTTCTGTGCATTAGTTCTGGGTGCCCTTTTTCGTTTCGGTGATTCGTCGATTGTGAACCGACCGTAATCACTCTCGTTACTACCATCGTGGAAGTCGTATATAGATGTCTGTTTCCATGTTAATTCTTTAGACGATCCAAGGGGATGTTCTGCGGTTAAACTGTTGTATACGTTTATGTTGTCGTGCGTACTCCTTACAACTTCGTTATTGCCGAGTTTAAATCTGATCACGGTTGGACTTTGCTTTCCTGGTTTCGATGATCGCTTATTATTAACCGGAGAAGCGTTTTTCTCTTCCAACGTTGGACTTTGAATCTTGATATAGGGATACATGATGGGCTTTGGTAAAGTCAGTTTGAGCGGCGGTCTTCCTGAGGACGGTGAATCGGCCATCGTTGAATCCACTTTGTTCGTCGTCTCCTTTAACGTTGCTTTGAACGGATTATCGGCCATTCTATCTGCAACGTCATAGTCTACGAAGTCTTTATTCAACGGTTTCTTTTTCTTCCGTTTACTCTCTCGTTCTGGCTTCGGGGGGTTCAAAGATATTAAGTATCGTTCCGCGTGTCGAATTTCCTTGCTAAAATCTTTCAATAATTTCTGACTACTTATGGTTTCCGGTATTTGACCCCTGCTGATCATATTATACTGAAATAGAAATAAAGTCTGGACTGTTGGTGAAATGCAACCATCTACGGTGAAATGCAACGGTCTCCTCTCGGCCACGGAATATATCAACTTACATCTTTATCTGTGTTCCACTGTTTGAGAATACTAAGTAACGCTTTAACACCCTGTAAAAGATACGCTGGACATTTCTTTCCTTCGTTATTTAATTCTTTCAGTTCTTTCAGTAACTTTTTTGCTGCAAACCAATTGATTGTCTCAAAGCCGGGATATTGAAATTTCGCAGGGGTTTTCATTTTTTTTTCTAATTCGTATATTCTATAAAGTATGGAGATTAAGTGAAGATAGTTGTAACAACCGTTACTATCACCCGTCTTTATATATACTCACTGTATTTGCATCGGAATGTTAAGACTATGTACAAAGTTTCCACCAAAAACCAGCGAATCGACTGGAGTTAATACAGCGTGTATCCAACCCGTCGGAATCATCATGGTCTGGCCTTGCTTTATAACGCATTTGTAACAGGTGTCGGCTTGATCTCCGAAAAAGGTTTCACTTTGCGTTGAGCTGCACATCCAATGTTGATAAAGTTGCAAATTCGCAGGTGTAGGCCTGATTAAATAAAACACTTTCTCGCCGCGCAGCACGTGATACCATACGGAAGTACCACCAAAATCAACGTGGAAATCTGTGAAACTGTCTTTGACCCCCATTAGGCAATACTTTTGCACTTCAGGACGTTTTATGTCACTATCCTCGGGCCAATCGCGTGGCCAAACGGAATTAACCCAGTCGAGTTTACGCGCGATGTATGGTGCTTCGACCATTGGTGAAAGACTGCAACGTTTATTTGTCAATTTATACATATACTTCCTAGAAACATTTAAAGCCATTATGTGGCAAGGCAATTAATATTGATATACCCAGTGTTTGTAAATTCAAGACTAATCACATTAAGAACCCTTGTCCTGCAAGGGGAATTGTAATATTCGACAAAGTCTCTTAATTTCATTCTTATGTTACTTTGTCTAGTAACGTCGATTACATCCATATCTCGATCTCCACCTGAATCAAGAAGCACAATTTCAGTCTATCCAAACTTCTGACATGTATCACATCAGTATATGACACTAGCATTGGTAAAGACAGAGAGAGAGAGAGAGAGAGAGAGAGAGAGAGAGAGAGAGAGAGAGAGAATAAATAAGTACCTATGTAACTTTCTACATCGTAAACACTGAAATTTGGAGGTGGAACAGTCATATCGAGTCCATCTTTTCCATCGATTATAATGGGTGTTTCAAATCCGTTGGTTTGCAAATACTGAAGAGTCAATTGTTGTCCTCTGACGTGTTTAACAACTTCATCGGCCTTTGGAAAATGTCTGGATTTTAACTCTCTTATAAATACAGGAGTGCCAGTTTGAACTGGTTTCGTATCTGCATCAGCCTCAGAATAATCATGTCTATGCCAGTTCAATTTTACTTTCACTGAAGTATAATTATTACTTAAGTAACAAGAAATACGTTATCCGTCGAGGAAAGAAATAAGAAGAAAATAAAGTTTGTAAATACTCACTAGGCGATGGTCCGCACATTGCTTCGCAACGCGGACAGTGGTATTTGTCCAGATCTATTGACATATACTCCTTTACAGATACACAACTATAAGAAGAAAAAAAAGAAAGAGATACAAGTTAGCTTGAAAATGATTAGTACGACTTGTTGCGCATATATAAATATTTGTTCGACTATCGATAGTTTCTTTCAATATGTATCATTCGTTGGTGAGATTGGATTTTATATGAAAAAAAGAGAAACACAAACGGATTGGTTTCATCGAAATAGGTTATGTAAGTATCAACAAAACCTATTTGGTTTTTCGTACAAACAATTTTCCAACTACTACTTATTAAATACGAAATTACAATTGTAAAATCATGGAAATATAGAGAAGTGATTTAAAAGTTTCTCGTGGAACCTAAATAGAGAAAGATGTTTGCATTTGACTTAATAAAGCATAATTTTGCCACGGTGTTTGGGTTGTTGTTTCTTCGTTGTTCGAAATTTAAAATTCTCACCCTCCATGATACCACTCCTTGCAGACGTCACATTGTATCATAAATTGTTCGAAATCGTAAGAACGGCCGCATAAACAGTACGTGACTGGTAACTCCATTTTCTGCGATTATTAACGTCGAACAGAATTTCGTGACTTTGCGTCGTTAACATTGGATGGTAACTATAGTAGCCGTGATGCGTCGCTGAAGAGTCGCTTCCGTCATCCGTCATTAAAATTACATTAAGGTTATGTTTTCATTTCGAATATAATGCGTACGCACCTTAATTGCGAACGGTTAAATGAAAACGCAATCCTTATCGCGGCAAACATGCGTCGTTCGAGAACGATGACGGAATTATAGGTTACGGTGAGTTTTAGTCTAATCGGCAGAAAATACATTGATCAGAGACCTGAGCTTTCTCTAAATGAAAAAGTTCAAAAGAAGAATTGCGAAAGGTGGCGGGACAAAAGCGTGAGTAACCATCGTAGAATTAGAATGCTCCTTAATAATGTTATATAAGAGGAATGTTGATAAGATCTGATGATAAAACATTTCGATGTTTCTAAACAATAGTAACATTGGACATATAGGAAGGTACCGCAGTACAAAGTGAAAGGCAAGTTCGTTCTGCAAAGAGAAAACTTTTTCTCAAATATTCGAGTATGAATCCTTCGTTTAGGAGAAAGGAAGGTGTTGGAAAGAATTCGTTAAGCAAGGAGGAATTAGCGCCAGAGTATGATTTAAAAGCAAAGAAAAATACATACATGAGGAAGAAGGAGGGGCAACGTAAGGAATAATCTTTATGCTCTTTTAATAATAAACTGGGTGAAATGGTTTTTATACGATACGTAGACAAGGGTAAACAAAGATAATGTACACAGTGCAGTACGTTTATCCCAGTAAAGAAGAACACCGTTATGGAAAGGGGTTGCTTAAATTTCAGATTCTGCGGATGGTTCCTTAGAGAGAAGTGGCGACACTGTGGTGGAAGCAGCACGGTTAGCCAGAAGAAGAGCTGACAAGCGGTATTGTTACATTACAGAGCAAAGAAACATAGGTTCACCTGTAATAGTTAAAGTGCATTCAGAAAGCTTGTCTTTGTTCCATATACCAAAAGTACTTAGAAGTCCAAACGAGGGAGTACAAACGAAAAAGGATACTTCAGAGAACGTCTCGGTACACGAAAATGGTAGAACTTGCGAGAGGATAGTTACCGAATTGTTAAAGACTGATCAGAAATTAGGAACAGGTAGGAAACCATCGCAGAACATTTGTAACGATGTTCGTGCTAGACCAGGGAAATCTGGCAAACCGTGCAGGGTACGCGGCAACGTTACCAACGTTCATAGTGCGGGTGAAATAATTAGCAACGTGAAGAATGACAACCAGTACCCGATACGATTCTACTGTCTTCGGAACAAAGTTGTGGTTGTAATGTCAAAAGGAGCAAGTTTCCACTTTGTCGGGAAATTAGTTGCTCGAGTATTACACGGGGCGATAAGAGTTTACGGATACGTTATTACCACGGAGAACGATTCGATGGAAATTTATTCACCAAAAGGATATGGTAACGTTTCGATCGAAACCAGCGAGAAATTTTCGGAAAACACAAAATTGGACATATGGAGAACGCTTTCTCTGGAAGGTATCGATCGAGACAGGGAGAATAAATTGGTGACCGATATCGAGCAACTTGAACCTGGCATGGCGGTCGTTTTGTTCTCGAATTTGGAAAACCAATTGACCCAATTTCTGAACGCTTTTTATCCATTTCGACTGTTTCCGAGAATAAGAAATTCGTCGTACGAGAGTTGGACGAATCTAAAGAGAGCCGAAGAAATATTGCAGTCGAACATTTACATCGGTCGCGCGGATCAGAAACAATTGAGGATCGAACCGCGCGTTCTGGAAGAAATTTCGGTGAAAATGTTGAACCGTTGGCGCGCGAACGAATGGTCGTGTACGTTAATCGCGGGCGGAAACGGTGTCGGGAAATCAGTTACGTCTCGTTACATGGTAAATAGCCTGCTACCCGTCTCTAAGATGGTAGTTCTCGTGGACGTAGATATAGGTCAAGCGGAATGCACACCACCCGGCTGTATATCGTACTGTGTAATCGACCAGCCTCTAATGGGACCAAATTTCACGCATTTAAAGACTCCGGAATATCAATTGTACATGGGAGATGTGAGCGTCGTACCGTGCATCACGCGATACATCGAAGGGATGAAAATGTTGATGGATAAATTGTCGAATTGTCCGATCCTTTCACGATTGCCGATCGTTGTCAACACGATGGGTTTCTCCCAAGGTATCGGCTGGGATATTATCACGTTTACCATCAAATTGATTCGGCCATCGTTCTTGTTACAAATAATGTCGGAAAAGTCGAAGAATAACTATATCGGGTACCTGAGCAAACAAGTGGTAAATCGACAGGTACTGATAATCGTTACGATTTCATTCTTTCCTATACGAATAGTGTGGTAAAGGTAGACGTGGGAAACGCGTTCTTTGTAGGTAGTTCCATGGTCGACGTGGAAGACGAATGTTATCGTTTGGAGCGAACCGTGCGACCACCAATTGTTCGTGGCGAATTCGCAAGTGAAACATAAGGGGGGGACATCAGAACAGGAAAATTGGAATTTGGAACCGTATAAAAAGCGGGAACTCGTAATGGTCTCTTACTTGAGCGAAATTGAGCAGAAACCTGGGAATACGATGTAAGATAGAAGAAGGTCGAAATATTATTAATTCACGAACAAGTGTGTTTGTTTTCAGGACGCAGTACGACGCTACGTCGGTTGCTTTCAACGAAGCTGTACCATACGTGTTAGTATTTGTTTTTGCACGTGTCAAACGAATCGGTTTTTCTTCATTTTCTTCATTTTCTTTATTACAGGATACCTTTCGCATCGTTGTTTATTTCGATTTCACGAGCATCGGTACCTCTGTCTCACGTGTTGAACGTGGTGAACGGCAATATAGTGGCATTGTGCGGAATCGACGCGGAAACCAACGAATCTGAAGTGTGTGAAATTACGTTCGGTCTTCGAGTATTGAGCAGACCACCCCTTTGCAGTTGTTACGGATTTGGTGAGCATATAGACGTACATGTTTCTCTTCTACGATAGAGTTCATAAAGTTATAAACACGCTTAAACATTGTTCCTCGATAGGTATCGTTAGGGGAGTTGACCTGGAGCGAGAAGAAATATTCTTAAACACACCGTTACCGGTTTCTATGATGCAGCACGTAAATTGTTTGGTGGGATGTATACCGCTGCCTACTACGCTTCTACAATCGGACAAACAAAAGAACGTACCTTACACCGGTGAAAACGACGCCTTACCGATGAGTCGAGAACACCGAAGAGGATACTTTCGTATGCGATACCAGAGGGAGCAAAACAATGCTCGACGATGACGACGATTACGACGACAGTTTTGCTTATATCGCTGAAAAAAAGCTCTACACACACACACACACACACACACACACACACACACACATACACACTACTATCGTCTGAAAATAAAGATTTATAAAGTTTCTTTTCCACTTTTGTCACTGATGCGCCAAGGAAAAGAAGAATGTACGAACTGGTAGGATATTTTGCATATGTAAAATATTTTGCTCAGAGTTTACAACAAAAGGTTTAGAAAATGCGACGGTGCTGCTGTAACCGAAAATCTAAAAACGACATTAAAAGAAAAAGAAGTTGTTGCGATTCGATTAAAATTTGTAGAAAAAAAAAATATTCGTTTCGATTCATCTCGAAATCTGCAGGCGTTGGTTCGATCACTTGGTAGTGTACGTATGTAGGTAAGTCTTTTTGGCTAAGGTAGGTCTTTTTTGCCGAAGGTATCAGGATGAATTTGCTGGAACGGTATCGCACTCGAAGAAGGGACAAAGGGATCTTAAAATGGCAGTGAGGGTTTGCACGCTCCAAGATTTCCCTATCAATCCCTGTCGTTTGGTGGCGGATAAGTTTTTCACATCCGTATAGTGACGCGGGAAGCCGAATATCTCTTCGAGTTCGGTTATCCACAACGAATCGGTCTCGTCCTTCATCAGAATCGGTTTCAAAGCGAGCTTGCCTGCGAACATGGTTTAACGGTTTACGGTTAACGGTAAACGGTTAGGCGAACGACGGTAATATCCGAAATACCTTGCTTGAGCGAGTTCACTTTCGTAGTAACGGTCCGAATTTTCTTAACGAGCGCGTAACGCTGGCAATGCGGCGTAAGTATGTCCTGCACGTCCTGTTCGTCTTGGAGGGATAAGGAGTGCGGCTCTATCGGTAAATTATGCCAGTAGAGCCTCAATCTGTGCTGAGGAGAGAAATCTGCCGAGTCTATCGCATCGGGTTCTTGCCCTAAATGCCTGCGTATGCGACGAAATAAGTATATTTGAGAATAACAACAGAGATAGAGAGAAGAACGTACTTGTTAATCTCCAGTCTATACTCGGTCGGCATCGAAGCAACGTTTTCGTAGAGCCAAAACAAGTGGCGTCCGTTGTTGATCTTCCGCAGTAGATCCAAGATTCGGCGATACTCGAAGAAGAGGACTCCCGTTCCTTTGGGATCTGAGAAAGCGAGAGAGAGCGAGAGAGAGAGAGGGAGAGCCGTGAGAGGAGGATTCGCGTAGAGCGAACGATAAAGTTAACGAGATCGCCGAACCGTAGAGGCCGAGTCGCGCCGGATTAGCCAAGCTCAAGTCGTTGCACGGCGATCCACCGATCAATAGATCGATAGGCGCTATCTCCTTGATATTTTCCTCGGTGATGTCCTTGACGTTGCCCAAGTGAACGATGCGGTCCCCGAAATGCGAGGCGCTGACCATTAACGCGTCCGGATCGATCTCGCTCGCGTAGTACACGTCGACGGCCAAACCCAACTTGAGAAGCACCAGCAGACCTGGGAAGATCGCGATACGTAGGTCGCGTCGAGAGGGATAAAGTGCGTACGTACCTGTACTGAGGCCATCGAACAAGGAGAGTACGCGTATCTTTCTCTCGAGCTGGTTACGACGTTCCAGCTGTTGCACGCCGTTCGAATTGCAATTGGTACGGAACATGTCGATTATTTTGTCCTTCCAGTTGGCTCGCGGCGTTACGATCGCGTCGGAGTAGAACGATCGAGGCTGCCCTCTGCAAAGGAAGCATTCCCAAGGATCTTCCTGCAGCACTTGTTCGTAGGTGTTTGGACATAACAGGTGTTTCATGCAAGCGGTGCAGTAAACCCTGGAAAAGGAACCGTGATCGATGTTCCCCCTGTTACGTACTTGAAAAACGGAGGATCGCGTTTTACCTCGGGCAATCCTCTTTGTCGCATATGATCACCGTTCCAGTGGCGGCGCAAATCGTGCAGTAAAACTAGCAAGGTATCAACTTTCATTACCTAAACGAGGCTAAATCGTAAGATCGTAATCGTAAATGAAAAATATACTTACGCATTTCGCGTCATTCCCAAAGACAAACATGCACGGTTTGTACTGGTCCTGAAACGAGCAATTCCAACGATCAAGCCGGAGAAAAAAGGTTAGGAAAGGAAGATGTCAGACGTCCTACCGAACAATCTTTGCACAGAGAGCCCTCGAAGAACGGATGAATCTCTGCGGCATCGCGAGGAACCCGTAGACACTTGAGGCACAACGACTCGAACGCGATTTTCCCGCTTAACGCGGCACGCAAATCGTCTAGGTTTTACGAGAGGTTACGAGAGATGGTTTTAAAAAGCGTTTTAAAAACAGAGACACACATTTCGATCAACTTTCTCATCTTTTTCCGCCCGTTTATCGTCGATCTTCGGATCGTTCTTCACCTCGTTCAATTTCTCCCCTATACAGTCGGAATATTTATCGTAGATCTTAACAGATTCGCCTTTTTTCGGCGGGTGGTACGGCGTTTGGGAGCGGCGGCCTTTCGAGAAAGACTGGAACACGTCGTTCAAAGTCCAGCTGCCGGTTTCGAATCCTAGGCGAAAGTAATAATCCTAAAAAGCGGAAAAGAACGGTCGAGCGAAATTTCCTCGGAGGGGGAGAAGGATACGTACCTTGGAGGCTTGAAGAACTCCGACGAGATAAAGGTGCTTCTTCGTATTACTCACGTAGTCGCGCATTTTTTCGATGCCCTTGTCGAATCTCAGAAAGAACTGATGATGAACCTACCGCGTGAGGGAAAAGGGAAAGTTTGCGAAAAGGGAAGAGACGTTGAAAAAGAAGGTTCGGTGATTTTTACCTCTGAAAGCTGGTAGTCGCCGTACCACATAATCCATTGGCAACCAAAGCTTGGCTCCCGCATGCAACAGTCGCGGTAATCGATAATCATCGCTACGGCAAAGCATATTTTTTCGTTGGATTTGCAAACGGAAGGTGTTGGATCGAGGATAGCAAGAGCACGTTACCTGGCCACCAATTGTGTCCGGCGATTTTTGCCCATGCTATAACTCCAGGCTTCTGTTCTTTCAACGGCAACCGCGTTAAATCTACGTCGCTCCGTTGTGCCGCCGATTCTTTCGGCTTTTCGAGCAGCTTTTTCCCTTGATTTTCCCCTGTCGAAGAAACGCCGAGCGATTAATATAAGTTTTGAGATTCGGATAGAACACCCTTCTGCCACGTACGCTTTTGCTCCAGCAGGTATTTCTCCGTGACTTTAGCGTTTTTCTCCTTTATATCGTCCAGCCTGTGTTGTATTTTAGGCGGGTACGGGTAGAATTTCATTTGGTCCAAAGCTGCGTAGGGAAAAAAGTAGACAGAGCATAACAGCATCGTGGTGTTTCTTCCTATCTATCTCACTTACTTTCGATCGTGTCCGAGAAATAGTTTTCGATCCAGGTGAAGTAAGGCTTCGTCAAGGCGCAACCCATTCGTTTGTGCAGCATCTGAAGCAATTGGACGTTGAAAACGGTGCGCGCGTGTAGAGAAGAGAAGAGAAGAGAAGAGAAGAGAAGAGAAGAGAAAGAAAGGAATGGAGGAATGGAAAAGAAAACCTGCATAGTCGCGTCAATGGCACGGATCCGTGCTACGTTCAAGTTGTGCGTCAATCTGGACTTGAGGTTACACGAGAACGGTTCGATCTGTGTCTTTTCGTTCAGCTAAAATTAAGGTAATCACCGTGAACTGTAAGAAAGGCGTTGCTCGTGCAGAGATTTAATAGAAATAAACAAATAAATAGAAATATATATTCACTAATGATATACGAGCTTCTCCGATCCAGTAAACCCATAATTTCCCTGCCTCGGACAACATTCCTACATGGACGGCGTCGATAATTAACGCTGTAATATCACATAGAAACGTTTACTTAGGACATACCTGCTGTAACCCCCCGACCCTACGCCAGCTTTTTAAACAACACTCGATTTCGACGGATGGACCAAGATCGATTAGCGGGGAAGGTGAATTAACCGACGAAATAAAACACAAGGAGAGATAAGCGAAATTCTTGCCTGGCCACCATCCCGAACAACTGCCCCATATCAACTTGCCGACGGACAGGTCCCTGCTGATTTTCCTCGAACCTCGCGTTACTCTTCTCGCGTCGTGATACCGGTCACACTCCTCCGAGTCTTTTCCCTTGTTCGGTCCGAGCCGCGGCCGGCTCTCCTTCGAACACTGCTCGTTCTGCTCGTTCTGCTCGTTCTGCTCGTTCTGCTCGTTCTGCTCGTTCTGCTCCTTCGAGGAGATCCGCTTGGCCAACGGAAGCGTGTGAACGTGGTCGAATTTGCTCGGGTCCGAGGGTTCTTCGTTCTTCGGCTGTTCGTTAGTCGCCTCTACCTTCGGACTTTCGCCGGTGGTCCTCGCGGTTCCCTTTCCGCGCTGCAGTTTCTTGCGAACTCGCGAGAAGCGTTTGCGGCCCCGAACGCGATTCGGCTCGAGCGGCACGTTTTCGTTCTCGACGCGTTTGCGCTTGGAAGAAGCAGGCAAATCTCGTCCCGTCTCCGAATCTTGGCTCGTTCGCACCTTTCCTCTTCCACCTTTCCCCTTTCTCTTGCAGGATTTCCAAAACGTCTCCATCGTGGAGTCGTTCGCCAGAGGTTTGGCTCCCCGACTCCTCGTTGTTCCACCACCGTTGGCCACCTTTCGCGACGATTTTTCCGACGACCTTTGGATGGATATTAACGGCGTCCTCTCGGCCCTTGGCTCTTGGTTCTCCGGCGAAGGCGCTCGGACCGGGCACTCGTTCTCACCGGAAAAGTGCGAACTGGAAGGCAGAGCGGTGTTTAGGAAGGGGTCCGATATCAAGCCCAACTCCACGGCGCATACCAAAGACCAAACGCTCTTCTCCGGCCAGCGGTGCAACGTACGGCTTTCCTCCGGATTCATCCTTTCAGAGAGCTGTAACATGCGAACGGAAATAACGGTGGGTGCGATGCTCGAGATGATGCTCGATAGGGCGAGGAGAAGAGAAGGTTGCGCGACGAACCGAGAAGGATAGATTGAAATCGCTTTTTAAACAGCACCGCGGAGGGTTGGGAATAAAAAGGGAGAGGGATG